GAGTGGGGTGTGTATTGCGACAATGATAGGATACCAACAGTATACTACCTTTATAGTATTGGTATATTATAGTATACTTTGTGATAGGTTTATGAGTACTATACCCCAAAACCCGGTAATGAAGGCCCAGTTCTGGCAACAAGAGCTCTGAAGTCCCATCCATGTATAGCAGGATTTAGGGTCTAGGGTTCAGGGTTTAGGGTTCAGGATTTAGGGTTTAGGATGGTTTAGGATTGAGGGCTCAGGGTTTGGGGGCTCATCTGGCGGATGCAGGTTTAGCAAAGGTGATTGGGCCTGAAGGTGCAGTGGAAGTATATATATATACACACACGCACGTTTTGATGCAGGCCGAGATAGACAAGCAGATCGATAGGTAGTTGGATGCAGAGACGGATAAATGGATGCATGGCTAGATAGCCAGTTAGGGTAGGTAGGTAGGTAGGTAGGTAGGTAGGTAGGTAGGCAGGCAGGCAGGCAGGTAAGTGGGCAGGTATAGACAGACAGACAGATAACCAAACAGGCAGACACGATAGGCCGGCAGGTGGACAGATAGATAGATAGACAGGTAGACAGATAGATAGACTGAAAGACAGACGGACAGACAGACAGACAGGTTTAAGCCAGAGAGGGTGCCTAGCTTGTGAGCACGTAGACATGGACGGGCAAGTATACAGCTGGTTGGATAGCGAGATAAATAGATGGATAGGTACATGGGTCGATAGATACGTAGATTTCCCTAAAATCCAAGTCAATCGCCTTAATCCCTAAAAGCCTCAAACCCTGAAATCTGTAGGAACTAAACCCTAGCAACCCCGGAATCCTAAAGCCAAATCTCACCCGAAGGATGCCTTTATCTTCACTACACGCATTTCGAGTTTTCTGGTTTGCCCAACTCGGATTTTTCAACTGGCTGCTGCAGGCGGAACAGGCGCGAGCCGTGCAGGAGTATCAGTACATTGCGCCATGGCTGCTTTCAGGTAGTGACGGGCAGCGGCAGGGCAGCGACTGCATGCAACATCACATCAGCGTTTGCATTGTCAGTTGCATATGTGTTCGTGAGTATTAGATGCAAGCATACTGATACGTTTGGTCATTATGATGCAGGTGATGAAGATGGTGAAGATGATGACGATGATGATGACGATGATGATGATAATGTCGATGATGACGTCGATGATGGCGTCGATGATGATGTCGATGATGATGCTTGTGATGATGATTATGATGATGATGATGATGATGATGATGTCGATGGTGATGATGATGATGACGATCGTGATCATGATGTCGAAGATGATGTCGAAGATGGTGATGAGGATGAAGATGATGATGGTGGTGGTGATGATGACGATGTTGATTATGGTGAAGTCGATGAAGATGACTACTCGTACTTCAGTGTTCCTAGTTTTGTTGCTTGGCCGGTGTGTGTTTGTTTCATGCCAGCCCGACCTGTTAAATCTCTACAGCCTGTACACCCAAGCCCAACAGCTCTGAACCACGAATCCAATAAGCTTGAGCCCTCGAAAACTCAAAGCCTGAAACTGCTACGAAAAGTCATGCCCCTATACATCCCCCTACCCCATAATTCAAGGCTCTCAGCCCTAAAACTCCACTTTAATGTATGTATGTATGTATGTATGTATGCATACACATAATGTACCTGAAGAACGCTTGACCAAGCCATACCTGGCCTGAATGGTAAGCGCCACGTTCTGAGAGAGCGAACTGGGCGTAATGAAGCAATCAGGACCTCAGAGAAAGACATTAGGCGCCGGTTGCTCAAAGCTGCTTGAGGTGGAAAAGAAAACAGCGACACCAGTACTAGCGGCGGTAGTGAGTAGCAGCAGAGGTATTCACCATAACCACAGCAGCAGCAGCAGCAGCAGTAGTAGTGGTGGTGCTAGTAGAAGTAGAAGCAGCAGTAGACGTAGACGTAGACGTAGAAGTAGACGTAGAAGCAGACACAGAGGTAGACGTAGAAGTACACGTAGAAGTAGAAGCAGCAAAACTGGCAGTAGTAGTAGTAGTAGCAGCAGTAGTAGTAGTAGTAGTAGTCGTCGTCGTCGTCGTAAGTAGTAGTAGTAGTAGTAGTAGTAGTAGTAGTGGTGGCAGTAGCAGTAGTAGCAGCAGTAGCAGCAGTAGCCACAGCAGTACCAGCACTACTGGTACTACTAACTACCAGGACTTGTCCTGGTACTGGTACTGCTGGTACTAGGAAGAGTACGGGTAGGAGTACGAGTACAAACGCTAATATCAGCGCTAGGATTGCTAGTGCTACTACGAAAACTGGTACTAGTACTGGCACTGGTATTAATGCTAATACTATTGCCGTTCGCCATAGTAGTTGTCGTCAATGTCGTAGGAGTGCTTACTTGCAGTTACAAGAGTAGTAGTCACGGTAGCAGTACCAGTAGATGTAGTAGTAGTAGTAGTAGTAGTGGTAGTAGAAGCAGTAGCAGTATTAGTATTAGTAGTAGTAGTAGTAGCAGCAGAAGTAGTAGTAGTAGTAGTAGTAGTAGTCGTAGTCGTAGTAGTAGTAGTAGTAGTAGTAGTAGGAGTAGTAGTACTAGTACCAGAACTAGTACTAGTACTGGTACCAGTAGTAGCAGCAGCCGCAGCAGTACCAGTATAAGTCGTAGTAGGAGTAGGAGTAGTAGTAGTAGTAGTAGTAGTAGTAGTAGTAGTACTAGTAGTAGTAGTAGTAGTAGTAGTAGTAGTAGTACTTGAGGTTCGCATTTTGGACTTGCTTTGCTTTGGGGGGGTGGGGGGGAGGGGGGATGATGACGACAGTGCTACGCAGACACCCCGAATAATATCTCCAGAAGAGCCGTTTTACTCGGCATCTAAAATATTTTCGTGATATCGGAGCATCTTGTATAGTCACCAAACCTACTTCTGGCCTTTGCGAACTCGACCTTGGCATGTCGGGGGGCTTGCGGCAATAACTTCGAAATTGGGATAGGGAAGCTTTTTCGGGGATGATCACGACACTGCTTCGCGCACACACCCCCAAAACTTCCTCCCAACCAGTCTTTTTTGCCGAAAGCCCTCCGCAACCCCCAGGTCGAGTTCGCAAAGTCCAAAAGCAAAAGTATGCTTGGCGACCAACAAACTGTACATACCGAGGAATTTTTTGATGATGTTCATGATGATTTAGGATGATGTTGATGATGACGCTGTTGATGACGTTGGAGGATGATTCTAGGATGATGTTGATGATGATTTCTGAATGATGCTGATGATGATGATGTTGATGACGATGACGAAGTGTAGTTGGTAGGGGGGTGGCTACTACTCGTCGTAGTAGTAGTAGTAGTAGTAGTAGCAGCAGCAGCAGCAGCAGTAGTAGTAGTAGTGTAGTGTAGTGGTAGTAATAGTGGTGGTAGTAGTAGTAGTAGTAGTAGTAGAAGTAGTAGTATTAGTAGTAGTAAGTAGCGGCAGCAGCAGCAGCAGCAGCAGGAGTAGCAGTAGTAGTAGTAGTAGTAGTAGTAGTAGTAGTGGTTGTGGTTGTGGTTGTGGTTGTGGTTGTGGTTGTGGTTGTAGTTGTAGTTGTAGTTGTAGTTGTAGTTGCAGTAGTAAAAGAAGCACCCACGAGAAGAATTCCAGCAACTGGAATCTAATGGTGCGTTCCCACCCTTTTCTAGGATGCAATGGCTCATGACACAAAGCACAACAATTCACTACATCTCGGGACGGACAATGTCGATGGAAAACATTGGAATTCCACCCCTGCTACTGCGCCATGCCATGTGGCCACCACCAGACAGCGATTGAATTCCACCTCAACAGGCGGAAGGGGTGGCGAGAGTGGTGGAATTCAGCCGACCAGTCGACATGTTCGAGTACCGGGTTCAACCCGGCTACTGTCGTCGTCCCCATGGCTGCAGGAAGACGGCGAGCCACTGGGTCGAACTGCGCCTGGAGAAACAAGAGTCAACACTCAGTCGACACTACAGCCGGCAGTCAACACTACAGTCAGCACTGCCAAATTGCCGCCGCTTTGCTATTCCGCACATGAAGAGGAAACAACCGATATTGTTCCTCTAACATGAACAAATACATGCAAAATAACAGTCAACACTCAGCCCACACTGCAGTCAACACTACACCACTACAGTCAACACTGCCAAAATGCTGAACTGAAAAATCCTGCATTTTCTGCTCCGGATATCAAGAAGATAAACAAAACCTTCATTTTTCTCCAAAATGCAAGTGATTTTGGAAGTGGCTGGTTTTCTCAGGGTGTTGGTAGTGTTGACTGAGTCTTGACAAAGCTTTACTCATCGCGAGTTTGGCATAAGGTTTCGCCAACGGTATGCCTCTCTTCGGAGAGCCTTTGTCGAAGAGCTGCCCTCGTTAGCACTTTGGTCCCCACCTTACTGTTCGGAGGCTTCCCAAACCGAAGGACCCACATGTGGGATCTCAGGCTCAAAGACGGCCGGCGTATCCGAGATGTGCATTCTTCTGGCAGTAGAACCCGCTCTTGCTTCAACGCCTTGCAAAGCTCCAAAAAAATGGGGGCGGGTTTAGGCATTGTGATCTTTCGCAACAACATCCCGCAAAACGTGATTCCCACAACACTTGCTGCAGATCCTTAAAACAGCTTTCCGGAAGACAGGACCCTCCTACTTGGAATTCGCTGACCCCTACAGACTGGATATCTGTGCAGGCTTGACGCAAACCTCAATAGCTTGAAGCCAAACTGCACATTGGAATTTCCCTGTAGCTTCCCACGGGACAGGACCCTGCATCTTGGAATTCCTCCATAGCTTGACACTACACGGGAGCCTGCAAATTGGAATTTCCTGATAGTTCGCCACAACACACGGGACTCGGCCAAACCGTCAAACACCGCATTTTGATGTTGTTGACCTGCTTGTTTGTTTTTTTAAATTTGTTTTCTGGTGCCGGGGTTTTGTCTTTTGATGTGGCCACCATGGAGCGAACACAAAATTCGACCCTTGTGAAGATCCTTTTTGGTCCACAACCTATCCTGGCAGGACCGGGGTGGTTGGTCGGACTGGGAGCGACCACAACGAAATCAGGCACCTCCGAAAGATACCTCTCAGCGTGCTTCAGGTGTCTTCCGATTCTGGGGTTACAGCTGCGCAGATGGCATTGGCAAGCAACGACGTTGAAGAGTGTTTTGTCGTTTTGCCACCAACGGCAGTGGTTTACTAATCACACAAATGATTGAAGGCATGCTCCGCAGGCGCCCTGCCCATGTCAAGATGCCTGCCCCGGCCATGCGCCGTCAGGACTCAGGCAACCACGACAGCTGGAGCCGTGACAATCGGCATGATGACCAGCAAGCCTGGGGACAGAACTCCTGGGACCAGGTGAGGAAGGGCACTACTTTTTCAGGGAAGTGGGCATTTCCAGCGCAAGGTGCAGAATCTGTCCATAGCTTTGACTCAATGGTTGAGTCTGTCGTAATCCTACATTACGGGCATGACCAGCTTAAAGGATGGCCATCGCCTTGTGATCTTTGCATGTGATTTCAGCTGCTGCATCTCTTTGGAGCTTCGCGTTGCAGCTCAGAAGTCAGTTTTACAGGATGCCTCCGATCCTTGGGCTAACTGGAACAGCTCCAGAGGCGGTCAGGACCGGGAGGTTGGCGAATCTCGCCTGCTAGGCGTCTTGAGCCCGTTTTTTTTTGATACGTCACTGTGCCACATCGGGATTAGATGTATATACATACATATAGGAATGTATACACTATACATACGGGCAGGTATATATATCTGCTGTGGCTATACTAGTGCCGCTCAAATCTATCAATGGTAGTATAGCATCCTGGATTCATCTACATGGTCTTCAAAGCCTACCCGCAGCGTCGAAACAGGACCACTCGTCCGGATGGGGAGCTGCTTCAGGTCTGAGCCTCAGACCTGTGTAGGGTGCTGTTGCAGGATTTGTTTTGTACATGTATCTATCTATCTTCTATCTGTCTGTCTACCTATCCATCTATCTGCCTATCTACCTGCCTACCTATCTACCTATCTATCTATCTATCTACCAACCAGTCTGTCTGTCTTTCTGTCTATCTGTCTGTCTACCTAAGTTGACTTGCTGCCGCGTGCGTATGCACGTGTATACCTCTTTCTCTCTGTCTCTCCACCTCTGTGTTTATGTGCCAAAAACGGCGTGTATGTATAGCAGTTTATGGTTGTATGTAAAGAAGTATGTACATACATAACATATGGGAACACATATAAACAGAGATACATGTATACATATATACATAGATACATAGATACTTAGATACATAGGTACATACATACATATATACATACATGCATAGACATGCTCTCACACACACACACACACGCGCTTATAACACTGTGCATATGTGTATATGTTACATGTACATGTTTCGGTATTACATACATATGTGTACAGAGATATGCATATGCATGTTTATATGCATTTGCATGCGACCACCTTGTTATTATCAATCCGTTTCTCTCTGGCTCATCTCCAAACTCATCATGCAGGTTATTGCAGGTTATTCGCACATTCTTGCACATATTTCAACACTGTTGTCGTGTACATGCGTACTTGCACACATGCATTCATATGTGCGAACACATTCTCGCACATAGTTTCGGGAAGGAAAAAGCAAGGCCTTACACTCTTGGGAGGTGGATGGATAGACAATAGACGTGCAGTCTATCTGGCAGGCCAGAAGGACAAAGATTGGGATGGCGTCAACCAGTGGGCGTGGGTCTCAAAAGTGGTGTCAGTGTGATACGGTCTGGATGGGCCGTCAAGCCTACGCTTCGTCCAGGCAGAGCCGGGAAGTATACACCGTGACAGCATGTTAGGATCCAAGACGATCTGTAACTCTGCGACGCTCTTCTGGCAGCAATTCTTATCAACATTTCCGTTCTGTGCCCACATCGCTGGACTGCGCGTGGTGAGAAGGTGTGGATAATTCGCGCCTCCTAGGGCATTCTAGGATTCTGGGGCGAACTCGCTACAACTCCAACCTGCCAAGAGAGCACCAGACTGGACGCGGTCAAGGGCAACCCTGTGCCCATGCATGCACATCGTGTTGAGGAGTCGAGTGTATCTTGACTGCATGAATTCCCTTGTAGTGTTGGCCGCATCCCTTGTCAGAGGACGCGGGGCCGTATAGACGGACCACTGCACAGTTTCTTCATGCTATGATAATGCGGCTCATGACAGCTGCGCTACGGCTTGCAACATCCACTGCCAGCCTTGAAAGACAGGCCACTCAGCTGTTGGAGCAAGGGGACGTGGACTGGGGCACCAGGCCGCCGGAAGCCCAGCGACTGCGAGTGGCGCTGGTTTTCGCGACAAGCACCCTTGTACCAGCTCCTGGCGGCCAAGGGAGATTGCGATTACGAAAGACTTCTACGAGGTGCGCTGAAGTCAGCCTTGCACCAATCCTGGTGTCAAGCGTTCCGGAAACCGGAAGGAGATGGGTGACGAAAAGGCGAGAACTCGCACCAAGCCAGAGATCGAAGAGCTGCGAGTGAGCACGACTCAGAATCGGCAGTGCATCTGCTACTGTATCGTCCATGGCTCACGAAAGTTCTTCGCTGTATGCGCCGAGGGAGAGCGGCATCGCAATCATGGAAGGGGAGTGCCAAGTGCTCAGAACTGAACATCCCTGTGGCGATGACAGACGAAGATACTGTGTCAAAGTTCCTCCGCCGTGGCGACCCGCGGATTTGGTAGCCAATCGGAGAGCCAGGTGAAGAGTGCCCAGTCCCTGGCCCTTTCAGCAGCTTCGACGAGGCTGCTGGTGACGTGTCCGGAGTCATTGAGCTACTATTGTCACTTTATGCTGCAGTTCCTGGATTCTTTGCGCAGGTGCGCTGGCCAGCTGAGCTGCAGCAGTCTCTGATCCACGAGTTTGAGGTCAGAGATGCATTCGGAATTTTCGGTAGAGCGCAGTTTCAAGCATGGCGCAAGACCGCGATATCCACTGAGTCACTAAGTCCCATAACACTTTCCCACAGCTGCAACGCAGACGCCTACCCCCATCCAGAAGCAGATCTGGTCGTTGCCTCAGCTCTGTGGTGGCACAGCTTTGGCACTACGAGACCTCCAGACTGGAAGCCTCGGAGCCTCTGCGTCACTTCAGGCCTTTGGCGTTACAGGGCCGAGATGTGGTTGGCATCGCAGAGACAGGCCTGAGTCCTGGCTGTTAATCTCTTTCTTCATCGGTCGCCTCGACGAGACACGCATCGCAGTGGAGAGCCCACCTGCAGGAAGTGGCAAGACTGTGTCCTATGTCCTGCCCATGATCATCCACATTAGTCGTCAGGCTAGCGGTTAGAGAATACCAGCGTGCAGGATTTGAGTTCAGGTCTAGGGTATCCATTTTGGGGCTCGCAGCAAGTATGGAAAGTGCGCAAAACAGTAGCTTCCGACTGAAGCCTGTGCTCCAACCCGGTTGCGAGAATGCACGTGGTGGCGGGTTGCGTTAGCTGACTGAGATGTCTTGCAATTGTCTTTGCTGAAGTTCTGTGTCGCCAGGAAGAGCTGGAAGCCGGCGATGGCCCAGTGGGTCTGGTCCGCCCGGGTAGCAAAGTGCAGCGCTTGCGGAGGGCTCGGGGTTTGCTGAGGCTGATACAGAGCCGCACATGTTTTAACTGTTGCAACACGCTTTAAGGGGGTATGAATCTAACGGTTCTGGATCTCCCTGAGGTCGGCTTGGGACTTCTGCAGCAGTTGTTGAAATAGATCCGAAAAAGCGTTCTTTCGCAGCTTTAGCACTTGGGTTTTTGTCGTACTCACGGTTTTATTATGTATGTGGTTCCGTACAGTTACATCGGTGAGGTAGGTGAACACAGCTTCGGAAAAGGTGGAAGTGGAGATGGAACACCGGTGAATAGATCCTCTTGCTGAAGTCAACGGAGTTGGGCAAACGGTAATCTCGAGTTGTGGCCGTCAGCTGCGGGGTTTGGGGGTTTGTTTGTTTTCGGGGTGATTTCGCCATGAATTCAATTCCTCCCCGACTTTGCGACCGAAGTCCCGAGCCCGTAGCCCGATGTAAAGTAATTCTGCTACTATACTCATTAAAACGTGTAGCTGCTTTTTCCCTCCTTCCTTTTGGTCTTGCCTGGAGCCAACAAATGACAAACACAGCCCAAGCTGGCGAGCAATGAAAGCAAAGTAACGGCAGGTTCTCGCCCCGACGCGCGAGCTCGCCAAGCAGATCGAGAGGGCCGGGCACCCTCCGCTTTTGCATCCAGGGACAAACTTCGACACTGTTCCTACCGAAAGGTTAGCATGCCCGGGTGCATGCATGCATTACTTGCATGGTGACCTGAAAGCCACAGGAAGATACGTCATAGAAGGTTGAGTTCGTAAGTTCCTAAATATGAGATCCCGAGGTCTGCATAATCTTGCAGCCGCGGGCGCAGGGTGAGTCATGACTCGGTAATCTGGATCCTCGGTTCACTCTGTAAGTCGCCATCAGGTCTGCAAGAAGTATGGGTCGCCTGCGCCCAAGAGATGAAAGCCTGGAATTCAAGCCAAGCTCAGGTGGAGGTATGTCGAGGTAGCGGTGCCATGTCCTTGAAGCCAGCCCATAGTGCTGCGAGCTGTACACTAAAATATGACGACGAACAACAACGTCATTGGAATCTCTCGTGTTTTGCCTCTTTGCGCTGTTTGAGGATGAAGCGCCTCGCGTCTGCCACGATCGTCGGTGGCATGAAGACTTCTGAGCACAAGGAGCTCCTTCAGGCGAGCGCATGCTCTGGCCAGACTCATATCAGATTTGCAAAAAACCAGTAGTCTATGGCGCGACGTTTTCCGGCTGCGCTTGTCTGGCACTGTTTAGAAAGCTTGCTTCACGATCCATCGACACACGAGCAAGGCAAGGAACGACATCATAGTGGCCACCCCCGGTCGATTCCTTCAGGCCCGGAGAGGGGCGGGGCGCAGTCTGCAGGCCCATGAATACCCTGGGGGTGTGCCGATTTATCTCAGGCCCTTGGTGATGAATGGACCAAGCTGAATCGATGCACGCCTGGAGACTCGGGCCGCGCAGACCAGTTGTGCGTGGGCTTGAAAGGGCTCGGTTTCCACCGAAGACACGGTTGAGAAGGATCTCGAGTTTAGGTTTAGGAATGGCTATTGTCCTGCCATGCGTGGTATGAAGTTTCAGATCTTGACGTTCCAAGGTTCGTCGTTCTGGATGAGGCGGACGAACTCCTGGAACACAAGGGCTTCGGCAGCGACATCAGGCACGAGCTCTGCATGTCTCCTGTGGTGCAGACTTGCTTGACAACCAGAGTCAGACACGTTGCATCGTTTGCCTTCCTTGTGTTGGGTGTCTTAAGAACTGCGCGACTGGCATGAAAACCAACGGACGTGTGGATGGCTTAACAATTTTCTTCGCCAGGGCCATTATGACGCAAGTGGGAGCCCTGGACGGTGGCATGACGAAGTCAGCAAATACTACATGCAACTTGTCAGTGCAGAGTGCACTTGGGCTCTTGGCAGACCCCCTGCAAGCAGCGCTCTCATGAAACCGGAGGCTGTGAGGTCAGACTGTCATGTCAGAGGTAAGTAGAGGTCAATAAAGGAGACTTCCACAGCAACAGACATCTTCTGCCCCCTACAACGCTTGCCCCGAGCAGGTGCGCAAAGAGCGGCAAGTCCTTATGTTCAGCGCTACCTGGCCAGAGGCCCTTCGGCCGGGCATGATCGGCGTGCGAATGAGAAAGCAAGCAGCTTGCTGTCAGCATAAGACAGCTCTTTTTTCTATTCTCGGACCTCGGCAGGCAGTGAAGGAGCTTGCCCAAGAGCACCGCGCCCGCAGAAGCTTCGAGTCGGGTTTGGTGTCCGGGTCCAGCGAAGGGCTGTGCATGAGCTCCCTGTTTTCGTATACCCTGCATTACCCTGCCTCGCTGCAACTGCGGAACGATTCCAAGATACAGAGATTTTGTACAAGCTCGCGACATGACGCTGAGTGGCGATTGCGAGTTTCCTGGCCCCAGGATCTGCACTGCGTCAGATGGCCGACCACCCGCAGCTCGGAGTTGAAGTCCTGTGTGTCATCTCAGGTCTAACAGAGGCTTTGTGATTGTGACATTGGCTGAACTCTGGTTGCGGTGCAGTTGGGGTGGATACTTTCATATTCCTTCGAAGCTGTTGTCCGGTGCTGCCGGCCTCTCAGGTCCATATCCACATCGGGGGAACGAGGTTAGCAGCATGCAGCTCGGCTGCAAAGTCTGTGCCAGCTGAAGACTTGCATGTCGACTTGAATCCACATGGAGCTCATGCTTACAACGACCCCAGGCAAAAGCATCGTCCAGAGGGCTGAGATCGTCGACGACGACGAGGCTGTGGGCTCAGACTCCATTTGGCCAGAACAGAGCAGGCCCACGGCATTGCCGAAATGTGGCAACCCAACTGCTGTGAACTTTTCCTCGCTTTTCCCGCTCAGGCCAAGTTCACGAAGCTGAAAGAGAAGCTGCACGAGTGTGGGCCCTAGCAAGCAGGGTCAACCTTTTCAGGGCAGCGCCGGACCAGCGCAGTTCAATCCCTTCCCAGTTGCTGGAGACCTCTAAAGAGGGAAGTCTTAACTGGAGTCATGGTGAGATGTAAGCCGCTCTTTCTGTGGGCCGCCGTCCTAGTCCTAGTACAGATGCTGCAAAGCCAACACGCAGCTTCAGGATGGCGATCTTCCAGGAAGGCTCAACCGACAAGTGCATCATCTTCTGCAGGTGAGGGTGTGTGCAGGCTGCTAGAGCGCAACTTGTGTGGTATAGCGCGGTCGAAAGGTCATCAACATGACAGTCAAGCATCCCTTGTTTCGGTGCATGTTGCAGCGTCGCGTTGACACTCGCGCACACACACTCAGACGTACACGAACACGCTTAGATTGACAGGAGCCGCAACGGTGTCATCAAGCTCAAAGACATGCTCACAAACGAAGACATGGTCTGGAGAGGGGACAGCGGCTGCCTCGCCACCCGGCAGAATGTACAGCCTTCATGCAACCAGCTGAACAGCATGAAAGCTCCAAGCTGACCCACTTTGCACAGACGAGCACGGACATCTTGCGAACGTCCAGGTGAAAGAGCTGCATGGAGAGTTGCAGCAGGCCGACCGTGATTGGGCAGAGGTCTCAGAAGTGAGTCATCATGTTTTGCAGAAAACGACACGGCATGGGGCGGCTTCAAGGAATAACGCGCATAGCGTGTGGATGCGTGTGGTACTGTTTGATGATAATGCAGACAGTGAGCTGCTGCCCAGGCAATGGAAGAGTTCCGCGACGGAGCACTGTCAGGAGCTTATCCAGGAAGCATGCATCTCATTGAGTTTACCATTGGATTCATGAATGTCCGTCTCAGTCTTGTCCGCGTGCTCGTCTCAATGCTAGGCCGTGCGTCGTGGCAACCGGAGTTCTGGCACGCGGCCATGACATTCCTCAGGCCGCTGACACGACAACCCGGCAACCGGTCAACATGAGTCTTAGCCACATGAACAGCTTGTCGCCACTTACATACGCTGCCAGGTCAGGTTCGTCATCAACTACGACATGCCAAGAGTGGCGGAAGACTACATCCACAGGGTCCGACCACATACCTTGCTCCTAACATGTGCGACTAAAGCCACTTCGGTCGGGATGGGATACTTTATGCAGTTGGTGTGAGGTTTCACGTCGAAACAGCGTCATGCAGGTGGGTCGAACCGGACGAGCCGGCCACACCGGCTACGCCTTCACTTTTGTGAACCGCTCCAACTGGCAGGAGATCTCTGGTCTGAGGGTGTGGGATTTAGGGGCATTTAGGGGTATTCAGGGGTATTTAGGGGTATTTAGGGGCGTGGGTCTACACTGTCTACACTGTTCGGCAAGAGTGGCAACCACTTCGTCCACGCAGGAACTGCAGTGGGGACACGATTACCTCCTCGGAGTACTCCAGGCCACGGAGCAGAACGTTGACGAGACGCTGCAGGCCTCGACACCAGTTTCCCTTTTCCGTCGCTCACCACAGCTTTTCGGTGCAGGAGGCCATCGATGCCCACCTGAAAGCTGCCTCGATCTCAGTGATGTCTGCATGAAAAGAGAACAATCTGCTTGGATCCTCAAGGCCAGGTGATAACAGGAAAGCCTTGGGTTCTGTTTATCATACGCGTCTTGAGCCGTTTTGGTTGAGGAAGGTTTCCTTTGCGGTTCTGCTGGGTTAGGCTGAAAAACAGTCTGCGCGAAATTGCGTCCAGTGCTCCAGCCTGAGTCGAAGGCTGAGTGGAAGGAGGATGCTTGGTGGGAGGCAGAGAACCTTGCAGCTTTTCTTGTCATTAATGCGGTTTGATTCGTGCCGGTCATTGTCATAGAGTCATAGAATCCACCTTAAGATGCAACCGTTTTTCTCCAGACTCGTACTGATGTGCTATGCCGCTCGTACTGATGTGCTATGCCGCTCGGGTTGCGGGTTGCGATTGCTTGAGCCGCAGGAAGCTGTTTGCCTTTGACAGGATGCAGCCAACTGGAATTCTGGCTCTGGATACCCTGTGGGGGAGGCGATGGGCATTCTCCCTCGCTTGCACTCCCTCCTCACCAATAGTTTGTTTGCTTTTGGATCGGCCCGGACATGATAGGCTGTGTGTGCTAGTTAGTCGGTTGGCCTCCAAAGCCCGTGATCAATGATGATCTTTGCAGGTCGTCGATGTGGAGTTTGTGGAAGATGACAACGTCGTTTTGACAGAGAACATATGCGCATTAGCAAGGACTGCAATGACAGATTTCACCTTCCGGAGCACTGAGCTTGCAGAACGCTTGCGAAGGAAACTGGTTGGGGAGTATGTAGAGCACGACGTGAACCACGGCAAGACGGTATACAAGAGGACAGCGTCGGCCTGGCTGGTGTTGCCCACAGGCTCTGGCACTATCAACTCGTGAATTTTCGACAGGTCGTCGAACATCGAGGAAATGTTTTTGTACTATTTCGACGATGGCGAGGATCCCCAATCAATGGGTGCAGCACCTAGCCAGCTTGACTGAGCCAGCAGCGAACTTACCTCAAAGATGACACGAAACAAGGATTCTTAATGCTGTAGAGATTCAAAGGCTGGTACTTCGGCACAGCGATTGGAGGCGACGATGCCACATCCCAAGCGGCTTGTTCAGTCATGTTTAGCTTTTCGGGTCCCTGCCGAACTACAATACAAGGTCTTCGGATGGTCTGAAAGCATGGAGACCGGATGGCACGTTCCTCACCACAATCCGGATGTGCAGAGCTCAGACGTCGAGTGACTCAGTCTGCAGCATGTTCTGCATGCAAATGCCGCAGTGATCCTGCAATCTTAGGCGCTTGCTGGGCTCAAAGTTAAAAGACGGCAGGCACGCGGGCATCCGCAATTCGGCTTGACGTCTCCGCCTCTGTCTGCGAGTGTGTCTGGCTAGCTTGCCAGGCAGCAGCATGGAACACCTCCGATCAGCAGGTGCGCTCATGAGTCATCGGTGTTGGGATCTCTTCCCATGGGCCCTTGGGCCCTCGGGCCTTCACATTGCCAGCTGCGAGGCAATCGCCCAGACCTCCACGGAGGTTCGGAGATGTTCACGTGCTCCACGCTGCTGTCATGCCTTTTTTGTCAGCAAGAGCTTGCCTCGCAGGAGTACTATGAGGCCGGCCACGGTGCGAGTGCAGCCGACTTCGTCCAGGCTGGGTGCAGAACTGTCCAGGTTCACAGTAGTAAAGATGTGCAGCGGGGTATCGTGGCCTGTGTCCTATTGTTTTCTGCTGTCATGAGCTGGATCCTTTGACAAACGGATTCCTTGCCCTTGAAGGAAGTATCTGGCCAAACCTCCACGGAGGCATGCTGGGACGGGTCGCTGCCGAGCACATCCGAGTACAAAACCTGAACCTAGAATGAAGATGCCGCTCCTGGTAGACTCTGTCTGTCTTGAACGCACCTCCCTAAATTCTTGCTTTTTTCATCTTTTTCCCTTGTGTTTTTAACTTTCACTGTCGTGTTGATGTGTATCAGGCTTACCTGGCGCAAACCGGTGTCACCGATCCGAAGGCACGTGTGGATGGCACGAGGGCTCGTAACGCTGCATATATTGATGCTGGGAGATGCATAAAGCTTCGCTCGGTTTATTTGTGCAATCTCTCTGTGTAATTGCCGACTATAGGTTAAGCGGCCGTGTCGTCTCCAGATTCATCGTTCAATTGACAATTGAAGTATGTGGAAAGCCCGCTGCCTGGAACCACTGAAAGTGCTGGTGGCTTGCAGACTTCCACTCGCGGACCCTCACAGACATGTCAGGAGCCCAGCACCTTGAACTCCAGCGCCCAGGAGTTCACTCCACAGGAATACCAGAACCAGGCCGACGGAGAGTCACAGAGAAGAGGGATGTCGGGCTTGGGGCTTGACGCGCTCCCTGGTTGCGAAGGCCGAGTGGTATTCTGGCCAGGATGCCTTGGCCCGAGCGATGTACTGCTGGGCAGCAGCATGTCAGTGAACGTGCTTCCGAAAGCCAGCACGTTTTGGAACTCAAGCTCCATGCAATGCCAGTAGAGCGCTTCATGATGTATGTGGATAGCCTGCCCCAGGGCTGTTTCCAGGGAGAGATTCCGGCGGAGATGGTGCGCCGGCCGAGTTTTTCACACGCGATGTGTGGCTGCTGACAACGTCTGCACATGGCTCCTGCTGCATCCCCCGCTATTACCGGCCAATAGCTGCTGATTGCGTTTGTCCATTGTGCAGGCACGCATGTTCAAGTTTGTCGGGAAGCAAGGAGGGAGTAAACTGAAAAGGCAAGGGAGGAGAGGAGCAGACAAGGAGGCAGCCAGCTTCTCTCAGACTCTAAGTCTCTCATTGCTTCTCTCCTCGAGGACTACAGCGAGGCTGCGGGCTGCGGCTGGCCTCAGGACAGTCCGCATAAATGGTTTGGGTAGGTTTGGTGCCTTGGGTTGCTGGCCGCTTCAAGTGGCGCTGGCAAAGCGCTGTCAAGACCACCTTGGTGGAGGATAAAGCTGCGAATTCCGATTTCTGCTAGTAGGAGATCTCATTGCCAGGCTGACTTGCTGCCAACCTTCGATCCAAGACGCTATGTTCCTCATCATGTCTTAGTCTGCAAAATCTGATTCCATATTTGGGTGCATAGCTCGGTGGGGGTGCAGAAATTGTGCTGACAATCCGAGGACCCAGCGGCCGCGGCGGTGGGCTATGACTATGCCCAACCCCTGCTCGTGTTGAAGCATGAGCTTGCGGTGATGCATTGTTAGTGTCATTGAGGCGTAGATGTTGTTTTTGTATTTCTTCTTCCGCTCATCGGCCGTTACACTGTACACAAGACAACGAGTAAGGGTAGGCTGCCCTACGTGTCATATGCTGCATGTGCAGCTGACAGGGTATGACATTTCTGGGTGACCACTGAAGGATTGTCAGCTTGACTGCAGCTGTGATGTCGCTGTCGTGGCAGGAGCATTACGCAGCGGACATGTCACAGGCCTGCAGTTTCACTGCTCTCTACCGAATCTTACTTAGATGGATCGGTAGATAGGACCGTGGATAGAAATATTGGCATACTGACATACTGGTTTAGTAGATAGATACAGTTCTGCCGCCTTTACTCCACAGACTTTCTGAGTTGCTCTCAATAACCAAGGTAGGCGAACATATATACCAGTCTTGCACGTGTGTATCTGGAAGCACGAAAACAAAACCACTGAGGACGAAATGCAAGCAATTCATCGCCTGCCAAATAAAGTCCACACGAAGTGGACACAACAGGGTTGACCTGTACCTTGTGCAGCCCAGCTGCTTGACCTAGGTAGAGTGAACAATCAGTACATAGCAAGCTTTCATGATGCAGAAACAGCAACGCACGCGCACGCACGCATGCACGCACGCACGCACGCATACACGCACGCACGCACCCACCACGCACCCACCCACCCACCCCCACAGACACACAGACACACAGACACACAGACACACAGACACACAGACACACAGACACACAGACACACAGACACACAGACACAGACACACACACACACACACACACACACCCCCGCGTGCGCGCGTACGCGCCAGTCCGCGCGCCCATACAAACAACAGAAGAAGTGCATCCCGTTGGTCCTCATCAAAGACACCGGAAGCACTAAACACGATTTTCGTTTCGGTTTCATTCTTAATCAGGTTGCGTCACTCTGCCCGGAACTCTAGCAAAGCCAATGTTGATACACAGACCTCCCAATACTTGCTCTGCACCCGAACTGCCGAGGGCACCCCATGGTTTTTCATGGTTTACACTATTTAGTAAACTCTGTATGTCAACAGGTGAATCATGTTTAAATACAATATAAATACAGCTGTAGTGTATATGGTTGCAGCAACAGTAACATCAAACGGCTCATGGCCACTGTACTTCAGTTCAGCACGAACTTAGGCATACTTGGTCGATGCAAACGGCGTGTTCACATGGTTTGTTGCCAGAACATGCGCATTGCATATTTCGCAGAATTATCCAACACAAACAGACCATCCAACTTGTACGTGAGGTGTACAACACATCTGTCGCCAGCTCCTTTGTATATTGTCTTTCTCGGTGTGTTCTGAACACTGTACAACACTGTAATTGATTCAGATTGCTGTTACAACGGCTTGGATGTGAAGCTGCAGCGCGCCAGTCTTTCATTCAGCCTTCGCTTACAGCATCAGGAAAGAAAGCATTGGCCACTGATGAGGAAAAAGCTATTTCAGAGCCAAAAGTTAAGAGCTGTTGCAAACTCTTGCACGTATCTTTTCACGGTGCAGATTCCTTGATAGAGACCCTTTGCAGTGTGGTTGCCGCACGTTTTGCGACATCGTCGGGACAAGTTACGACTAATGCTCATCCCTCCTTCTCTTCCTCCTAAGTGCTGTGGCCAGCGTTCTGCATTATGGCATAGGGAGTTCGGAAGGCGAATACGAGCAATGATAGGTAATCGCGGGTTTTTCTGAAGATCGTAGACAGCCACAAGTGTTCCTCTGCAGTCTGTCCGGATCGGAGGCGTTCTACGATCAGAACGCATACTGTGACCAAACCGCAGCGATGTTCGAGGCGGCCTCGAACAGCTTGGGAATCCCGTAGAACACGACGTGTTGTGTCGGTTTCGTATAGTTCTCTCAGTGATACTGACAGTAATACCAAAATGGCAAATAATATTGGCAGTAGCAAGTGTTAATGATAGAAGAAAAATACACATACACATCATCTCCACAATGGTAATCGTACCAATATAGTAGCAATACTAAGAAAATGGTAGGGATCATAGTAGCCATAATCGATGGCTGTAATTTCGTCATCCCCAACGAGGGTCAGAACAGGAATCGCAATCACCATGAGAATGGCCATGGCGTAGGACTAGAAGGCCTCAGGATTTGACTACGGAGATGGATGAAGGGTTAACAAACGACAGCAAGGTACAACCGCCCCAGCCTCCCACCACAACCCCACAGCAGGTCATGAATGATGGAGTGGGAGGAGGGTGCACGTAAAAGTGTGTTTCAATAACAGCATATCCGTAAGACCAAGCGCAGCCTCATGCTTGTTTCTTGGATTTTTGCAATTCTGGTTTTGATAGTTTTCTTATGTTGCCTTGGGCTGCTTGGTTTTACTGACTCTGTTTCTACTCACATGCGGGGAATGCGAAGTAGAGCCCATTGCCATCGTCTTTCTATCACCTCGAACATTCTGCAATCTTCCCATTTCCGAGGACACGCAACACCATATCGTTGCAGGGTCGTGCTGCTTCCGGTTGTGAATCAAAGTGGCTAGATTAGGGCAAGCAGTGGTAGGTTTGACTTGATCTATTGAATCTATTGTATAAAGGTGTTTGACTCCAAGAACAAAATATTTGTTTCGGGCCATTGTACAAAAAACATGTTCAAGCGGTAGCACCTTGTGGCTGTTTGAAGGCCTGAAATGCGCTGTAAGTAAATGAATTGACCGAACTGGCCAACCATGGCTGGTTTTTACACAGGATGGAGCAACAACAACAACAAGAGCAACACCAAAATTGACTTGCTCGGTTATGACCGCCACAAAAACGACTAGACTAGCCCATGTTTTGTCTGATGAAGGCTGTTTCGGCTGAGGGAAGCCGTCAATGAACATGTATATTCTGCAATGGTCATGTAAACGATAATATTTCGACTTCAGGTAGTCAAATCACGCAGTACAGCCTTCTTTTGAAAATCGCACCCTCGATCCAAGTAGCAGCAAGTTTTCTATCCAACCGTCCAACCGTGTTATACAACAAAAACAACATGCTTTTGCCTATTTTGTCGGACCAGTTCCTTTCAACTTGTGGTACGAAGCTGTATCTCGTTTGACGTAGATAGGCGAAATCAGCGAACATGCGCTATGTATAATGCAATATGGGAGCGCGTTTATCTGTGCGACCATACTGATTCAGTATTCACGCTCTATAGCATTCACAGCATTGGCCCCAAAGCATTCACAGCATTGCTGATGTCTAATGGTTCAGAACCATCGGTTTCAATTGTTGGCTGTGCGAGCCTGTTTAAATCGCATCTAAGATTCTCGTACAGTATCGTGTCTTATCTCTGGAGGGTTGCTCAACTTAAGACGCCTATATGATATTTGGAGGCCCGACTCTCTGGCACCCAAGCACGTATACATGTATGTCTATCTATCTGTCTATCTATCTATCTATCTATCTATCTATGTATGAGAGAGATAACATTGTGCAACCGCACATGTGTGCGTTTGTGTGTGTTTATATTTATATACATATCTAGAGTAGT